GTACTAAGTACACTGACGGTTAAGTACGAACTGCAGTGTGTACTACTACTAAGTACACTGACGGTTAAGTACGAACTGCAGTGTACTAAGTACACTGACGGTAAGTACGCACTGCAGTGTACTAAGTACACACTGACGAGAAGCACGAACTGCAGTGTACTAAGTACGCTGACGATAAGTACGCACTGCAGCGTACTAAGTATACTGACAGTAAGTACGCACTTCTTTGTACACTGAAGGCAAGTACGAACCGCAGTGTACTAAGTACACTGACGGCGAGTACGAACTGCTTAGTACTTCGTATTACCATAGGACTACTGAGTACAGTGAAGGTAAGTACTATAGAAGTACATAGCAAGTACTAAAGGTACTCTTTAAGTATATCCCACGGTAAGTCCGAACTGTGTACTAAGTACCGCGTAACCGGATACTATAGAAGTAGATAGCAAGTACTAAATGTGTACTCTTTACTCTTTAACTATCGGCAGCTTGCAAGCCCAACGTAGCAACTAATGACAGCTTACGGCACTGAGTAGTTGACGTCAACTCGTCACTGCCACGTCCGTAGCAGTGGGCAACTGAGTACCAAGCACTGAGCACTAAGTGCTTAGCACCGACCACAAGTAGGGAGTACTACCGTCTTCACCCGAATAGAACGCCTGGTAATTATCGCCGCATCTGGGCTGAAAGTTGTGCCAAATGCTCAGCAGTCACTGAGCATACCGAGTGCTTAGCGCTGAGCACAAACTGGCGCGATCAGATCTCACATAGCGCACCCCAGCTCCTCCAAAACGCTCCTCCCTCCTCCTCTTCTTCCTTTTTTCTTCTATTTGCGTGTTTGATCCCGTTTATATCCGCGTCGATAAGACAAATCTAGTCGAACTGCCACCATCAGATCTCGCTCAGTGCACCCCTCCTCCTCCTCCGCCTCGCTAGATACATTGGGACCTCACTCTTCCTCCTCCCGTCCTTGCGCCTTCCTCTCTCTGCCACCGTCATCTCGCTTAGCGCACCCCGCCTCCTCCTTTCCCGCCCCCCTCTTCCTCCTCCTCCTCTTTCTTCTCCTCCTTCTCCGCCTCCTCTTTTTCGGACACTTCCTCTTCCTGCTTTGTTCCTCTCCCTGCCACCGTCATCTTGCTTCTCCTTCCTCTTCCTCTCCCTCCTCCTCCTCCTCCTCCTCCTGTTACTTCTTCTCCTCCGTCTCCGCCTCTTTCTCCTCCTCCTCCTCCGGACCTCTCTCTTCCTCCTTTCTTCCTTGCGTCTTCCTCCGTCTGCCACCGTCATCTCGCTTAACGCATTCCTCCTCCTTCCTCTTCCTCCGCCTCCTCCTCCTCCTCCCCCCTCCTCGTCCTCCTACTCCTACTTCTTCTCCTCCGTCTCCGCCTCTTTCTCCTCCTCCTCCTCCGGACTTCTCTCTTCCTTTTCCCTTCCTCCTCTCTTCTTTGCGTCTTCCTCCCTCTGCCACAGTCATCTCCCTCAGCGCACTCCTCCTCCGCCTCCCTCTTCCTTCTCCTCCTCCTCCTCCTCGTCCCTAGATTTTCCCCCTCTCTCTCTCCACTTTTTCTGTCATATCACCAGCCACTGCTCCTTCCTCGACTCGATTTGAAGCGCAAAACCAAATAAAACCACGCACAACAAACCCAAAAAAAATACACACCAAAAACAAACAAACAAACAAACAAACAAACAAACAAGCAAACAAACAAACAAACAAACAAACAAACAAACAATGGAAGGCGCAGGCCCAGAACGGAGATTGCGAATCTGCGTGCTGCAGTCGTCGTACGACGAGTCCACCTCGCCCTGCAAGACTCTGGATCCCGACGCTTGTCCCGCTCTCTGGCTGGAACCTTATCACACCGTCGACACGGTGCATATCTTGAAATCCACGGCTGTGAAACAGATTCTAGAACTTTCCAAGGAGTCGTACGATGTGTTCATTAATCTTTGCGATGGCGCTTGGGACGAGGACCGCGCTGGGGTGGAGGTCATTCAGGCGCTTGAGCGTCTGGATCTGCCGTACACTGGCGCCGACCTGCAGAGCTACGAACCTACCAAGGAGACGATGAAGATGGTGGCTCTGTACAGCGGGGTGTTAACGGCTCCTTTTCGAATTTGCAGAGACATGGGGGCTGTGGAGGACGCCGGGAAAGAACTAGCTTTTCCGATGATCGTGAAGCACTACAACGGCTACAACAGTGTGGGTATGACGAAGGCCTCGAAGTGCATGAACTTGAAGGAGCTTCGGTGCCAGGCTGAGAAGATGATCCAAGAGTTTGGAGGGGCCATGATTGAAGAATTTGTTGACGGCAAAGAATATACCGTGCTGGTGGCAGAGAACCCTGATGACCCGGCCAACCCGATCGCATTTCGGCCTGTCGAGTGCATATTTCCGGAGGGGGAGACCTTCAAACACTTCGACCTTAAATGGATTGATCATGAGGGGATTCAATGGGTTCCTGTGGAAAACGAAGATATCGACAGACGGCTCAGGGTAAGTATATGGAGGCCGTGTCCCAGCTTGTTTCTTTGTTGGTTGGTTGGTTGGTTGGTTGGTTGGTTGGCTAGATGGTTGGTTCTGCTGTCAAATTCTGTCACTACCTACCTACTACTACTCCTAATCAAGGGGAGCATGTACCTCGGACCCCTGCAAGCATAGCTACCTCTCAAAATCAAGGAGATGTATGTTAGGGCCCGGCCACAATGGGTCCAACCCATGGACATGGAACTCCATCCTGAGAAAACTCGCATAGTAACTAGGGGAGAAGGATTCCATTTCTTAGCACATGACCACCAGAATAGAGGCCTTGCCCAAGGGCCTTAAAAAAAAAAAAAAAAACGTTCTCCACCGGGGCTTGTTTGTTTGTTTGTTGGTTGGTTGGTTGGTTGTTGGTTGGTTTGTTTATTAAAGCTAAGCTATATTCTTCTCTCAATTTCACAGTTCACTACCTACCTGCCACTACTCCTAAGCCTGTACCCTGGCAAGCATAGCTGCCTCTCAAAATCAAGGGGATGTATGTTAGCCCCTGTCGTAAGGTGGTGGTGAGGGAGTAGGGTGGGGCCGCTCGGGGGCCAGCTAACGCAAACACCGAGCATTTTGCCAATAGCTGCACCTCCCATCTACGTCCCCCAACCCCATCCAGTAACAGCAGTGTCTAAGGCCAACACTCTCCCACACCTCATGCAACCTACAGACACACACACTCACTCCCGTGATGTGCAAAGACCCTATCGACGCAGGGGGGGCAAGCCAACGATCTCAGTTGGTTGGCACCAGGTGTGCCCCAAGTGGTCCTTAGGGATTGAACCCACAACCTCCTGAATGCCACTTGCATTCCTAACCAACTGAGCTAGGCCCCTTGCTCATTTGTTTGTTTCTTTGCTTGGTTATTCCTTTGTTCTTATCAATCTTTTGTCTTTTTCACTGAAATGAGTTGGTACTTATGCATAAATAAACAATTTGTAGCAAGCGGCCTAGCTCAGTTGGATAGGCACAGAAGTGGCATTCAGGAGGTAGTGGGTTCCCCACTGACCAGCTGCGGCACTCTTGGTGCCAACCTGCTGAGGTAGGGTCCTTGGCCATCACGTGTGTGTGTGTGTGTGTGTGTGTGTGTGTGTGTGTGTGCGTGTGTGTGAGTTGCATATGGTGTGTGGGAGAGTGCTGGCCATAGACACTGCTGTTACTCCATGGGGGCGGGGCAAGTAGATGGGAGGCGCAGCTACTGGTAAAATGCTCAGTCTTTGCGTTAGCCCCCCCCCCCCCCCCCCAGCGGCGGCCCCACCCTACTTCCTAACCACCACCGACTAGGGCAGGGGGCAAACATGCATCCCCTTAATTGTGAGAGGTAGCTATGCTTGCAGGGGTCCCCTGTACAGGCTTAGGAGTAGTGGTAGGTAGGTAGTGAAAGGTGAAATTGAGAAAACTTATATATATATTTTAAACCAACACCCCCTCCAGTGTTAGTGGTGCTGATAAGAGCAGACACCCTTAGCACCTGGGCAGAGGATAATGTAGCTTAGTTTTTTTTTTAAGTTTTTCTTTTCGAAGTGCATATTCCCGTAAGTAAGGGGAGACTTTCAAACCCTTTGATATGAAATGGATAGATCATGAGGGATGGATTGATCATGTCCGGGACATCATGTCCGTTAAAATTGGAATGATACAGATATACAGAAGATTAGTTTGGCCCTTCAAAAGAAAAAAGAAAAAAAAGCATGGCCCCTGTGCAAGGATGACATGCATATGGTCTTTGCCATCTCCACATTGATGCCTCTCTATCCTATTGCTCCCTTCCACCCACCTTGAAGACCATTCACCTATTAATATGAGCTGGAAAAGGAAGGCCAAATGACCTCTTCAGGTCACTCTAAGTACAAATTGCAAAACGGGAAAAAAACTCGATTCTGTCAAAAGGCCTGTTTCTTGAGCCCCAAGGCTCTTCTTTCTGGGTTGCTTCCGCTCAGTAGTAGGTGACTAACTTCTTCACCCCAATAGCACGCCCGGTCATTATCGCTGTATCTAGACGTAAAGGTGGCCCAAATTCAGCTATAACCCATAGAACAAGGTTCATCCGATCATGCTTCAACCAGGGCTGGGTGGGGCTGTCTGCCTAGCCCAAGTGCCGATAACCGCTGTTCGGTTGAGGTCACCCTTCCGAGATGGTAGAAGGGCGATGGTCCTGAATGATCAACACTGAGTGGCTCAGTGGTTAGGGCACCGGTTGTCAATGCGGATTGTGGTGCGAAGGCGTGTGGTCAAAACTCCATACGTTCGCACAGAGACACCTGAGGGCGTTTACATAACGCATGGACCCCCTTGGGCTGACGCAGGTAAGCTATTACAGACACTGCCTGCACACTACCCAAGGGTTGTCCACGGTGTTGTTTGTCAGGTCTCGATACTGCATGGGTTGCTTGTCGCTGTTGGTTGTGGTTGTTCTGTTGATGTCCTCAGTCTGGCATATCACACATAGGGGCCATTTGTGATCGTTGCTCATATGGTAGAGTCTTCCCGTCACGTATCATAGATCACAGGTTCGAGTCTGGCTTGGGACTTTGGGGGGGGTTCTAGTCCAACTTGGTCTGTCATCTCTTCAAAGAACACGTAGTTCCCTCTAAATGGTATTGCACATATCTGGCCTTCGCACACATACATCTTGCTGTACAGTTACACAGAGCATTCATAGCCTTCGGGCATACAAAAACATGGCTATACGTAGCCTACGGGCTCATACATACATAGCTTCCGAGCACACATATACATACAACTACAATACGGGGCTGGGGGGGTCTATCAGGTACATGATGAGGTCTGCTCATGCACGGCTTAGTCTCTCGGGTAAGGTAGGGATATAAGTCGCTCCGGCTAGTCTGAGTTCCGCCTAGCCTTGGGTAAGTTAGGGGAAGGACGGTAGGATGTGCCCGTGGGTGCCAGCTTGCCTTGCCTAGGTACTCCTGCTGGGTAGACTCTCTGATATTGGGCCTGTAGAAAAGATTGCATGAGCCTGGCGTCCGAAGTTCCCGTACGGCAAGGTTCATCAAAAAAAAAAAAAAAAAAAGGTTTGTCCGCTTCCGCTTCCACTAGGGGCGGGGGGCTGTCCAGGCTTGGTGCTTGTCACTGCTGTCTGGTCCTAGTTGCCTTTAATATTGGTGGGTTGATGGTCCTGAGTGCTGGTCACGCTGGGAGAATTAATGTGGGGAAGGGTAGGGAAGGTGGCCTATCCTGTCAGGACAACCATTGGCTGCCACTGCCAGCGATCACCGTGGGTCTGATCCTTGGCCACTGCAAGGCTTTTTAAATAATAATAAAGAGAAAAAAAAGAAAAAAAAGCGGTAGGATAGTGGAATAGGGTTGCGCCAGGAGAATTGACGAGAGGATAGGTAGGGAAGGCGGTCTCATGGATAAAATATCAGGACAACTAAATAGCCGGCTACTGAGGCAACCGACGCATGTCTGGAATCCAGCCTCTATAACAACCTGGGGTGAAGTCCCACCTTCGAAGTTGAGTTTTCTCAACGCTGAGCTTTCTATCACAGGTGGCATGGTGGGACGGAGCTCTGCCGTTGATGTATTGAGAATCTAAGGGTACCGAAATACAGGAGAATAACCTATTAGATTTGGTCTGTCTCTTATACACATCTAGATGTGTATAAGAGACAGATACTCAGGAGAGTTTCACTCGAGGAGATTCGTTTTCTCCTTTTTATTTTCTAAAAAATATGGACAAAAGCAGATTGCCCCACTTTCTTTCTCCATTTTACATTTGAGAAAATATGGAAAAAAGCTTTCACCCTAGGCTTCATTTCCCAAAAAAAAAAAAAGAAAAAAAAAAAAAAACATTTCCATGCGCACGGGTG